CTTGTGTGGGCAGTGAGCGGTGTGTGGCCATGTGCTGGGGCGCTTGTGTGAGCGTGAGCTGGGATGCTTGTGTGGGCAGTGAGCGGTGTGTGGCCATGTGCTGGGGCACTTGTGTGAGCGTGAGCTGGGGTGCTTGTGTGGGCAGTGAGCGGTGTGTGGGCATGTGCTGGGGCACTTGTGTGAGCGTGAGCTGGGGTGCTTGTTGAAGTGTCCTTTCCTTTTCCTTTTTATTTCTAACCAACAACACTCTCTGGTCTTCTTCTGCTGTCCCCTCTCTCCACCAACCCCCCCCCCTTTTTTTTTCTTCTGTCCCTTCATTCATCATTTTGGGCTCATTTTATTTTATTTTCAATTTTATTTTCCCTCTTCACTCACGGACACCTTCTTTTAGACCACCAAGTTTTTATTTATGTCAATAACTGCAGGCCAGCACCCTGCGGAGGGCGACCGGCAATGACATCGGTTCACCTTCCCCCTCAGCATTCTGCGACCTCACCTCCCCCATGAAAGCCACCCACCCCGTCGTTGCCTCCACTGGGCCTGTCAGTAAAACCAGGTGAGCTTGGGGACAGGCCCTGGGTGACGACTCCCTTCCCTCCTGTGGTTCCGTGCGCCTGCTGGTAAAGAGCCATGGATCATCGAGGACAGAGGCCACCCTGTCCATCCCTGTCTGGAAAAAGAGCCTCAGTGGGGCAGAGTTGTTAGTCTTCAGAGTCTTGGATTTTCGGCCTGCCTGCCCCATCTTTCAAGGCCAAGAGTAAATGTAATTCTTGGTTGAGGTTTTGTAACTGCACTGTCCTGGCGTTTAGCCTCTCAGGCACTCAGACCCCCTGTGACCCTGGGAGCTCCTGCGGGGACATCTTTCCTGCCAGCGTCATCCCACATCTCTTGGCTGCTGGCTGCATGTCAGGCCTAGAGAAGGGAGACTGGGTTCTCGAGTGCTGTAGAATTGTCTAGAGACCTTTAATGTCATCTGTGACAATCTGCCCCAGTAAGGCGCTGGACTCCATGGTACCTGTATCCCTTAGGCAAGATGTGAGGACTCTTGACATTTGGTCACCTGGGCTCATGGGGCCCAAGCACCTTGGCAGCTAGGACACAGGAACTACGAGAGGGCACGAGTGAGGCTCTGTAGCACTGCAGGCTCCTCTTCTTCTCATCCTGAGTCAGCCTGTCCCAGAATGCTGTGACATACATTGCTGCCCTTACCCCCACCATGAACATGCATGCATCCTGTCTCTAGCATAACATTTGTGGAGTGTCCTTAAGTGTTAAGGTCCCCAAATGTTGGGGGAGTTGTTCATTTCTCTGTCATGTTTTCCTCATTTGAGACCGGGTCTTACCATAGATCAGGGTGGCCTCAGGCTTGAACATCCCTTCCCTGCCTCCTGAGTGCTGGGCTTAAAGCTGTGTGCCACCACACTTGGCATAAACTAGTCTGTTTTAACTATGTTTTAGATCTGTGTGTATGACTGTTTTACCTGCATGTACTTTATGCACCATGTGTGTGCCTAGTGTGCACAGAGGTCAGAGGGAGCTGCAGAGACAGGTGGATGTGAACCACCGGATGTCTGCTGGAAACTGAACCTGGGTTCTCAGCAAGAGCAGCAACTGTTCTTAACTGCTGAGCCATCTTTCAAGGCCAAGAGTAAATGTGTTTCTTGGTTGAAGTTTTGTGTGTGTGTGTTGGGATTGGGGGTTCAAGACAGATTTTTTTTTTTTTTTTTTTTTTTTAGTTTTTCGAGACAGGGTTTCTCTGTGTAGTCCTGGCTGTCCTGGAACTCACTATGTAGACCAGGTTGGCCTCGAACTCAGAAATCCGCCTGCCTCTGCCTCCCAAGTGCTGGGATTAAAGGCGTGTGCCACCACCGCCCAGCCCAGACTTTTTTTTTATATGACAGCCCTGGCTTTCCTAGAACCCAATGAGTAGACCAGGCTGGCCTCTTAAACTCAGAGAGATCCACCTGGAGTCCGGGACTAGAGGTTCACGCCACTACCCTGGCTAGTGTAAATGGTTGTTAAGCTCCAGCAGACACTTAAGAGTGACGCTAATGCAGGTTGCACACGAGTCTGGTCTGGTTTGGGTGATGGTGAGGGCAGGCTCCACGAATTCACCAACCCTCTGAGGTGACAACACAGGTAGGTGTGCCTTGTCTGCTTGGCCCCCGCCTTATGCCTCCTATAGTATTTGCCTCTGTGAAATTGGGTTTCCACCCTGCACCCCAAATTCAGAGAAACATCACTGTGTGATGCTTGACTCTGTTTGCTGTCCTTGGGGTGTTCAGTCCCTAAGGGAACTGCTGCAGCCTCTGGAGAGTAAAAGATAAATCTCATAGGATGCTGGGTTTGGTTTGGTTTGGTTGGTGTTTTACTTAGTGACATTTCCCCTCTTAACTCATTTGAGGTGGAAATCTGAACCATTAGAATTTGGTTCCTTTGTTTTGCTTTTCATCTTTGTTGTTACTGTTACCTTGTCTGGAAGGGATGGCTTTTGGTTTTGGTTATGAGACAGGATCTCAACTCTATCACCCTGGCTGGCTAGGAACTTGCAGAGCTTCATCTGACTCTTCCTCCCAAGGGCTGGGATTGAAGCTTAGGTGGGGTTGTCCCCTGGTCTTGTTCACTATAGCGCAGGTGGGAGTCATGTTTGCTGTGTACCGGAGGATGACCCGATCCTCCCCTCTGTCCCTGCGTCCTGGGAGCAGGCACCACCACACTCACGTGTATGCTGAGCTTCCGTCATGTTGGACACGTGGTGTTTTGTGTTGTTTGTCTGTTTTAGTCAAGCTGTCCTGTGGGTTAGACTTCAGCTCATTTAGTAGTGAAGGCTAGCCATGAGTGCTTAATTGTTTTGCCTACACCTCTCAGTGCTAGGACTACAGGTACGTACCGACATGCCTGGATAAAAAGCTAGGATTTCTCATCCTCAGACCTGTGCTGGAGCCGCCCCATGCCGCAGTGCTTACTTGGCAAGGCTGAGGTTTTTGGTTCCATTTTCAGCACTACTTCAAAAAAAAAAAAAAAAAAAAAAGGTCTTGTAACAAGAAACTGAGATGTGTTGCTTTTATTTGAGTTTAGGTAGACTTTACTTAGCTTGCCTTTAAAAATCATGGAATTTTGTTTGTGTGTGTCTAAGAATTACAAAGACAGCCGGGTGGTGGTGGCGCACGCCTTTAGTCCCAGCACTTGGGAGGCAGAGGCAGGCGGATTTCTGAGTTCGAGGCCAGCCTGGTCTACAGAGTGAGTTCCAGGACAGCCAGGGCTACACAGAGAAATCCTGTCTCGAAAAACCAAAAAAAAAAAGAATTACAAAGACAAAGTAACCCTTTAAAATTCTAGAGTAAGTTGGGTGTGCTGGGGCTCACATTTAATCCCAGCACTCTGGAGGCAGAGATGGGCCTTTCTGTGAGTTCGAGGCCAGCCTGGTCTACAAAACTAGTTCCAGAACTGCCAGAGCTACACAAACATTGTCTCAAACCCACGACTCTAAGGTGTAAAGGGAGGTGGCTGAGGTAGGGAGAGGAGTGGCATGTGGGCAGATCCTCTCAGTGACTCTCTCTGTCCACTGTCTCCAGGGCTGCTGCGCCTGCTCCCCGACCATCCACCCACCCCCACTCTGCATCACTGTCCAGTAGTAGTGCCAAGCCCTTAGGGACATCAGAGCCACAGAGCTGCTGCCCCTCTGCCTGGACGCCCCTGCCTCAGGTCAATGGACACTTCACGTCCCACTTACACCCACTGCCAGAGGCCAGTGAGGCCCTACACAGTCCCTCCAGAAAGAGGAAAAAGACCCCTAATGGAGATCCCCAGAGACTGGGCCTAGACACCCTCCTCCCACAGTGCCTCAGGGGAGCACCTGCCACAGCACGCAGGAAGAGAAAAAAGAAGTGCCTGGAGGGGGTGGGTGCCACAGCTCCCCAGCAGGAGAGCCAGCCTCAGGACCAGCCTTGGAGTTCCAGCTGTGGGGAGGAAGAGGGTATGCAGCCCCAGGTAAACGGTCATCAAGTGAGTCCCATTCTGGACAGTAACCACACGAGCAGCAGGAAAAGGAGGAAGAGGAAAAGGTCAGAAGCACTCAGTCAAGAAGCCACCCTGTCCCAGGACCTCCTTCAGCACAGGTAAGGGCAAGGCCTTCCCAAGTGGTGTGGGTTAACAATGTAGTGCTGGCCTGGGCACAGGGTGGAATGCCCTATGTCAGTGAGTGCCAGTTCCCCACATGGGTGGAAGAGGATAGCCACAGGGTCAGGTGGCCCCAGGCCAGGCTGTGGAATTGTAAGGTTGCAGCAGTGTCCTGTGTGTGCAGTGTACCTGTTCTGGAAAGAGCAAGAGAACCACGTGGTGTCTCTGACATCATGCTTAAGTGTGTCACTGTGGACAACAGCCCTCGTATGGCACAGCCAGTCAGGGTGGAACAAATCACCACACAGCACTGCAGACACAGTCTTTCCTCGGGGGCACTAGTGTGGAGCGTGGGTTTTTGTTTGTCTGTCTGTCTTGTATACATTGGTGTGAGGGTGTTAGATCCTTTGGAACTGGAGGTATAGACAGTTGTGCGCTGCCAGTCAGTGCTGGAAATTGAACCTGTGTCCTCTGGAAGAGCAGCCAGTGCTCTTCACCATTAAGCCATGTCTCCAGCCCCACTGTGGTTTTATTCTGAGTATTTACCATTTTTTTATTTCATTCATTCATTCATTCGTGTGTGTGTGTGTGTGTGTGTGTGTGTGTGTGTGTGTGTGTAGATCAGAAGACAACTTGTAGGTATTAAGTTTTCTCCTTCTACCATGTAGGTTCCAGGGATCAGATTCAAGTTGTCAGCCCTGATGGCAAGCACATTTACCCAACTGAGCCATCTCAACAGCCTTTCTAGGAGCTATATTTCTTTGATTACATGTGTGTGTGCATGTGAGCATCCTTGCACACCATAGAAGCAGTGGATAACTTGAGGTCAGCAGGCTTAGTGCCAGGTGCCTCTATTAGCTGAGCCGTCTCACACCGTCCTGAGGTGGAGCTGCTCTGGCCTGCAGTGGATCTCAGGTTCTGATCTGCTCCCTCTCCTGGCTCCCCACAGCTGCTCCCCTGCAGACCACAGTGAGCCTGAGGCCAGGACAGAGTTGCAGAAGAAGAAGAAGAAGAAAAGACGAAAAAGAAGGCCTGAGCCACAGCAGGAAGAAGAGAGCGAGCACCCAGAGCGCCAGAGGAGCCCAAGGCTCAGTGTCACCCCAGCCCCTGAGTTGAGTGTGAATGGCCATCTTCCTAGTGAGCGCTTGGGTAAGGATCCTACGGACAGCTGCAGAGGTGGCAGCTTACTGTCCTTCATTGCAGGCCACTAGGAGCCCTGACCACAGGTCTCCATTGGTTGCCAGCAAATACCTAAGACATCAGTTATTTTAGAGAGAAGGCATGGCTGGGCGTGGTGGCCAAAGTGTATAATCCCAGAGAGAGCATGGGAGACAGGCAGGCATTCTGTTCCATGTGCCCTGCATTCTGGGCCTGTGCTGCAGCTCATCTCAGTGGTACATGACAGAGAAAAGCTGTTCATTTGCAGTCTGGAAGCCAAAGAGAGCAAAAGGTCCCAGCTACATCATGCTTTTGTGTCTGATTGAGGCTGGGGTCTCTGTTCTGGCTTTTTGTCATTTTCTTTTCTCACGAATGGCCTTGGGTAAGATCATCACTAGAGAGTGAGCATCTGCTGGCACCAGATTCTGCAATGCCATGACCAGGATGTATGGTTGTTTCTTCAGTGATTTGGTTCTACCCTGTCCTGTGATTTCAGGGCTGGGACAAGTACCTCTCGTTACCTGGAACAGAAGTCAAGAACCCGATGTGGTCCAGGAGTTGCTTCAGGACTCATCTGATACGGCTTATGGGAGAAAAGGTGTGGTCTGTGGCAGGGTGGCACTCCCTAGAGACTGGCATCTAGGTTGTGGGAGGTGGTGGTCCTGGTGTGCTGTGAGATACCGTTTAAAGAGTCAAACAGTTGTTGAATCCGGTTTAACCCGACCCCGGCTGTTGCCACAGTGGGAGAATCTGTTCAGAACCGAAAGGCCCGAGAGCAGGACAACAAGGGGACTCCAGACCCAGGCCAGAGGGTGGGATGATGAAGCTCCTCCGGCACTAGTGTTGGCAGGCTCGACTGGGGCCATGCTTCGCAGGGCAGACTTGAGACGTGAACAAAAGAGCCTTTTTCTAAAGTGGGAGCACACAGGTTATAGAGAGGGGTTTGCAGCTGGAGTACACAGTGCTCACACCATGGGTCATGTGACCTCCCTTCATTTTCTTCTATTAAGAGACAGTCAGAAACCTAAAGTGGTTAGAATAGACGGGCCATGGTAGAAAGGGAGTCCTGAGGAGAGTCTGCAGGTGACTGGGACCCACAGGCACTGACAGAATATGTCTTGTACAGTTCTGACCTGGGACGGGGAGCCTTCAGCCGTCAGTCAGGACGCCATCAAAGACAGCAGATTGGCCCGGACCCAGACCGTGGTTGATGACTGGGATGAAGAGTTTGATCGCGGGAAGGTATGGCGACTGTAAACTGGGGCAGCAGGCAGCCATGGTTCTGCCTGAACTTTGATAGCAGCTTGTAGTGCAGTCGTGCACAAAGCAGTTGAGGCTGGGCCAGTTGTGCCTTCAGTACCCTGGCAGGTGTGGGAAAGGAAAGTAGGGATGGTGGGACCTCCATCAGAGGGTGGCGTGGTAACAGTATCTATGTCCAGGAGGCACATACCGTGTATGCAGTAAGCCTCCAAGGCTTGAAAATGTCCTCTCTGGCCGGGCAGTGGTGGCGCACGCCTTTAATCCCAGCACTTGGGAGGCAGAGGCAGGTGGATTTCTGAGTTCGAGGCCAGCCTGGTCTACAGAGTTAAGTTCCAGGACAGCCAAGGCTATACAGAGAAACTCTGTCTCGAAAAACCAAAACCAAAAACAACAACAATAAAAAAAAAAAACCGAAAATGTCCTCTTTGGGAACTGTGACACTGTGATTCTTGATTTAGGAAAAGAAAATCAAAAAGTTCAAAAGAGAAAAGAAGAGAAACTTCAATGCCTTCCAGAAGCTTCAAAGTAGACGCAACTTCTGGTCTGTGACTCACCCAGCAAAGGTTGCCAGCCTCAGTTACCGCCGCTGAGCTCGCTGCGGTTGGTAGAGGTCAGCTTGGGTGGGTGTGTGTCTGCTGTGTGTATCGGTGGTCTGTGGTATGTGTGTACTGGTGTGTACCTCTGTATTGTATATCTGTCTCTGTGTTAGCTCATATGTGTATATCTGGCGTGCATGCAGCATGTATAAGTCTCTGGTGTGTGCATCTGGTATGTGTGTGGTCTGTGGTGTATGTGTGTGTGGTATATAGCTGTCTGTGGTATGTGTGTCTTGTATGTATGCAGCATGTGTGGCCTGTGGTATGTATAGTGTCTGACCATTTGGTATATTTGGTCTGTCTGGTGTGTATGGTATGTTTGGTGTCGAGTATGTCTGGTGCATGAGTTTTGGGTGTGTGTCCTGTGTCTGGTATGTTCTAGTTATTTGTAGTTGTGACTGTATCTTTTGAAGTACCCAGGGATATAATAAGATTGTCACCTCTCTTCTCACCAGGTAGACCAGTGTGCCAGTGCCACAGTATCCAGAGCTGTCACATCACATCCTTGGAACTGTCTACTTGGGTCTGAGAAGCAGCCTAGTGCAGTCTCCACTGCACTGAGCCTGCCATGGTTGGAGGCTCCCGGTCGCACTGTTGACAGATGATCCAGTGTAGATGCTCACAGGTGATTTCATGTGGAACCTCACAAGAGAAAACCTGGCCTGTGGTGTCGTGCTGACAGAAACCTTGGAGACCTCTAGAAAGGTTGAGCATCTTCCTCATAGACCCTGGGGTCTAGGTAGGAAAACTGTCCCTGCTCTGGGTCTGTCTGACAAGGAACTGAGGCCAGCATCTCCCAGCATGTCCTTGGCTCAGAATGGTGACATTTGGTGGTGCCTTTTCTGGTGAGCCTTCCTTTCCTCTCTGAAGCTGGAGCTGTCTCGGGGCTCTCCTCAGAGGGACCTCTGTATGACTGACTGTCGGCTGCAGCAAGAACAAGCCCTGCTGACTGCACTGCCCCCACCCCCACCCCCAAAGTGCATCTCCTTGAAAGAGCGCCACACCTTCTAGAAAGCTGCAGCTGCTGGGCATGGGAGAATCTTGAAATAATACGTGCCAGCCCCTCTGCTTCTAAGGCTGCCAGCACTGCAGGGAGACTGTGAAGCTCCTACATCTGCCATAACCTGTGGGTCTCTGTAAGGTGGCGGTCTTTGGAGACGAATTCTCCGTTATTTTACTACTTAACGATAAAGCCTTTATTTTTGACCAGGCCTGTGGCTACCAGTAGCAATATGTTTCCCTGATATGCAGACACTGGCTTTGTTTGCTCAATTTTGTGAGTGCTTTGAAATTGACATGGTTGCCTTCCCTGTCTTGCTCAAGCTGCCCCTGTAGGCTTAGGGTTAACAAACAAGACTCCTCAACGAGGGAAGACATCACCCAGAAGATGGAAGGTACCAGAAGGTTCCTCTTCATGGGGTGCATCTCTTTGTTCCCAGAGTCCTAGCCTGCTCTGGGCTGGGCTTCTTAGGCTAGGCCTTTTGGGAGGGGCAGGGCTGCCTTCTCATTCCCACGTGTAGTGTTCTGTTCAGCTGCCGGCTCAGGGTCTCACTTGCTTCAGATGTGGGAAAAAAGACTTGTGTTCTCCATGGCCCAGAGGTGAGGTCATGTTTCCATGTGGGTGTTTCCTTCCTGTTTGTTTCTTTCCCTTTAGAAGAAAGGAGAGAACAGGGCTCCATGGTGGGTCCGCTGGGTGAGTTTTCCAGCTAAATGTGATCGTCTTTATGTGGTCGCTGTTCTGAATTATTATGTCCAGGCATGCTGTGGGCTCCGTGTTATCTCGGAGGGAGGCAAGCACCTCCAGAGGCAGGGATGGTCTCTTCTCCTGAGGTACTGCCGTCCTTCCTGTAGCAGCTGCTTCTGGGGTGCATTTGTTTTCCTTACAATGTTCTCTAGTAGAAAGCTGTATTGCTGCCAGCACAGAACTGATCTGTCTCCTGTGTCTCCTCCAGACTGGCTCCTTTGTGCACTAGATTATACAGTATAAAGTCTCCTCCAGGAGCATATGTCCTCTGCCTCTGGGGCAGTCATGATCCCCCATCTGCCACCCTGACTTCTGGCAGCGTGTGTTGTTGTCAGTGAAGGCAAGTCCTTTCCTTCCTTAGAAGCCATTAGGAACAGACCATGGGTGGAATGAGTTCTTGGTGACGGACTGACAAATAGCTGAAGCTTTTCTAAAAGTAGTCATTTTGTTAAATCAAATCAGTTTGAACTTTGTGCTGTGCTTGGCGGTAGATGTGGCGAGGCCCACTTGCAGAGGGCCACCCCTCCTGGTGTTTCTGTTCTTGCGCAACTGCCTGTTAGGGGCTCTTTCCATCCAACATCCTGTGTGGCTGCGTCTGTATGTGTGCAGGAATCCCCGTACTCTTCCACTTCCTCTTCAGGGTCCCCAGATATTACCAAAATCTTGGTGCAATAAAGTAATGCATTTTTTTGTGATTCCTTTCTGTCTCTGCCTTGTCCTTTCGTTTTTAAAAAGGTGTGCCCCAGCAGTGACTAGGAGGCATCCCCAGGTCAGGTGGATGTGTTTCCATGCTGCTTTCAGGTGACCATCCATAGCTAAGTTGAGGAGCACCATTGCTTGAGCCTAGGTTATAAGGGCCATCTTGGACAAAGAAATCTATTTAAGTTTATCCCCAAACTGTAGATTTAAGACTGAAGACAACCACTGGTTCTTTAAACCTTGGGAGTGGTTTGAAGTGAATAGTGGAGAACACAAAGCAGCATCCACCACGGTGGGCGTCGTTCCACCGCTGCTTTCTTGTGCTCACAGACGGCAGTAGGGCAGGATGAGGATCTGGATCTGAGTTTGACCACCACTGAAGAATGTTGTCACCAACTGTTGTGGGACACTGCAGAGATGTAAACAAGGACACTGATGACAGACTGTAGAACGGTTCCACCAGAGTCCAGCTGTGGGGCCAGTTAACTTACTGTGTTTGTCTACAGAACATGAGTGGCTCCCAGGCAGTCACACCACGGGCATGGGTAATGACTTCCCATACTTGGGGCAACTCCTGAGACAACAGTTATGACGAGATTCCAGCTGCCTGGGAGGGACAGCAGGGAGTGGTGGGGTAGATGAGAGTCCCCAGCGGATTGCTCCCATCCCTTCCTTCAGCGGGGATCTCAGCTCTCAACTGGCCCAATTCTGAGGGTCTTTTGCAAGTTGCCCCAGCTCTTGACAGCAGCTTATGTCCCAAGGCTAGTGTTGTACAATATGGCTCAATAGCATAGGCACATCTGATTGAGTGGCACAGTCTTCTGGAGGCTTCCCCAGCCACAGGTTGGAGGCCTGGTGAGAAGACAGTTGTGTTTCGTGTGGACTGGGGTTTCTTCATTGGCACAGGACTTTGTCAAGTGTGTATAGAAATGGCTGGGCCCTCAATTTCCATCCCAGGGTGCCTATGAGCAGGAGGAGGGTTCCAATCAGGAAAGCCACACTTCTGAACTCATGGCTGAATGGGTGCCGGGCAGAAGAGACTTCTTGTTGAGTGCCTTAGCTAAGTGCCGTTCAGCTGTTCATCATGACATGGTACCTCTGTGCCCCCTTCTTTAGGGGCTTCTGGCAGCTTCTACCAGACACAGGGAGTTTGGTCTTTGGCTTAGTCTTCTCAGCTGTTTATCTAGACAAGATGAGAACAGAAAAGTCAATGTGCGTGAGATGAGGCCACCATTGGCCATAAACACAGTGCCTGTCCTGAGCAACCACACTGCCCAGGCGTGGTCAGCAGCCTGACACTGCCGGGACACAGTGACGACAGTGTCAAGAACACCTCCTTATTGCCACTTTCCCAAACCCCAGTGGCCCTGGTACGAATGACAATCCAAGCAGATGACTTCCCCACAGACAGAGCTGAGGGCTCCCGTGGAGGATGAGTGCTTTTAGGACACAACCGTAGGGATGGAGAAAGGCAGGGCCAGTTCTACTGGAAGAGCCTGGGAGGGCAATGTGAGAGTGCCGACACGGGGTCAGCCTGGGCTCCTGGGATAACTCCAGGCAGAGATAAAGGTGACCTAAGCAGGTGGGACTGGCTAACCTGGTCTGACTGGCCTCTTAAGACACCTGAACTGACAGTGTCTGCACCTGGAAAGGGGTGGCATGTGGAGGATACGAGTAAAGATGACCAGGCCCGTGGGAGGCCAAGAAGAAGGCTCCAGTCCAGAGCTCAGGGGCAGAGATACACAAGTTATGTTCATTACTTTTCTTGTGACAAAGTACCAACAAAAGCAACTTAAGAAAGGAAGGGTTTGTTTGTTTTGGCTCACTGTTCTTACAGTCTAGCCTGACATGACAGGAAAATCATGGAGGCAAGAGCATGAGGCAGCTGGTCCTATGGCATTTCCACTCAGGAAGCAGAGATAAACACCGGTGCACTACTTGTTTCTTTTTGTGCAATCCAAGACCTTAGCCTAGGGAGTGGTGCCACCCAGAGTGGATCTTGCCACCTCAATAAACCCAACTAGAAACTTCATCACTGGCCAGCCCAGAGATGTGGCTCCTAGGTGATCTTAGATTCTGTCAAGCTGTCACGGTTGACTGGGTGAACCAATGCTGTGGTCACCGTTCTCCATCCTCTCTCGAAGTCTGCTGTGGCCTATAACCACAGGAACAGGTACCTCTCTGGGGTGATTTGGGCCCCCATTTTGTCTTCCAGTCAGGATGAACCTTGTTCTCTTGTCCTGTTTGCCTCCTGGGTCTGACTCTCCACTCTGCTCAGAAGCTCCCTGTGTGAGCATGTCACACGCTCCCTCCACACACAGCTTCTGCTTTCACCTTCCCATCACCCTCAGCCCCATTCAGTTCCCATAGGTTATGTGTATTTGCCTCAGACTTCTCAGGATCGATCGCCTGTCATTGCTCCTGCCCAGGGTTTCTCTCATCTTCCACTCAGGGAGAGAGAGTGGGCACTCAAGCATACATTTTCACAGGTCAAGTATCTCTTTGGAAACATTCTGCTTGCAAGTTTATGGGCTGCCCCCTGTGATCTGTTTGCTCCTGTAGTTGTTCATAGTCCCTGATTTCAGCCAGGAGCTCCTCCCCCTCACATCTGCACACCTCTGTCATGAACGCCTGATCCAACCGTCTATTGCCTTGAAGTGCCTTCCCTCCACCAGACAACCTGGCATGCTGTCCTTCCCTTGACTTGGTCTCCTGTCTAGCTCTCTGATTTCTCTGTCTCCTAAACCAGGAAACCCTGTCCTGAAGGGTGGGACAGACAAGTGCCTGTGAGAGAGTACAGTCAGATGATGTAGCCAAGACATCCCTGAGGCCCCTGTGACCTTGGAGATCCTATCTGGGAGGTCCACCTCGACCCAGTGCCATAGGTCAGGGACCAGCTCCAACCGGAGGCAGTTTTTTTTTTGGCTCAATGCTTCATTGAGTGCAGCTGCTTCATCTGGTTCCAGCTTTGTCAAGGTCGAGGTCAGATTTAACTGAGATTTCCTTTTTTGTTTTCTCTGTGTAGCCCAGGAACTCGCTCTGTGGACCAGACTGGCCCAGGAACTTGCCCTGTAGCCCTGGCTAGCTTGGAACTCAGAGATCCTCCTGCTTCTGCCTCCCTAGTGCTTGGTTATAGTCATGCACCACCACCACCCAGCTGGACTGAGGATTTCAACCATGACTTGCTATGGGGAGGGGGGGAAGACCTGGGTGTTACGGAGTCTCACTGGAGTCAGCACTGCCAGTTATGTCGTCTATGTTCTGCTCCTCTAAAGGCAGGGGCAGAGCCACAGGACTGTGACTGAGGGGTATATTTGCCCCCCTGGGTCTTGTGTGCTTATTTTCCTTAGGAGGACAGTGTCTGCAGCTGATAGGAGTATCGCGTGTATGAGAAATGCACCCAGGCTCTGGGTGTCCCTAACATCATCTAGCTACGTAACAGATCCTTGCTGTGAAAGGCACGGGACTTGTACCCTCAGCAATGACATTTTCTTAGCTATACGTCTTTGCTTTTGTTTATTTATTTGAGATAGGGCTACCCTGGCTGGCTTGGAACTCAGAGGCCGGAAGTGGGTATCAGATTTTCCCTGGAAATGGAGTTACCAGCAGTTGTGAGCCTCCATGAGGGTGCTGGAGACTAAGCTCGGGTCCTCTGCAAGAGTAACTAGTGCTTTAGCTGCTACGCCACCTTTCCAGCCTCTTAAGACTGTATTGTCAAATGAATCTAAACCTTAGTCACCCCATGCCAAGAGTGGACATTGTTTATACCCTATATGATTTAGTTTTTATTTTCTCTCTCTCTCTCTCTCTCTCTCTCTCTCTCTCTCTCTCTCTCTCT